TATTATATACTTTAGCTAGACCTAATAACTGTATTTTTTGGTACCAAGCTTGTCCGAGATGGAACCGACATACTTTTATTTTGCTCATTGGCCATACTAGACGAACAGCTGAGTGAGTAGATTGTTCAAAATCAATATGAAAAGTAGTTGGTAGGATTGGTGAACTTTTTTTAAAAATTCTAGTGCTGTACAATAATCAGTAACTAATTTGCCCACCAACAAACAAAAAAATAATGGTACGTAAATACTATTTTTTACGCCATGGACCACGAATAATTGATTGTACGCAATTAGTATGTTATATTTGTGTCCGCAATTCGTATGTTACCTTTTTAGATTTCGTCCGCAACTCGCATGGTTTTTGTGACTTTGTCCGCAACTAGGAAACATCGGGATTTAGAGATTTTTAATAATTTTTATACCTTAAGAAGATAATTATATACGTCCCATTTTCAATGTTTATATGTTTTAATATTTGTTCAGGAATACAAAAATATTTGAAATATTATATATTTATTAAATTGTATATTTATTTTTGGCAAATATTGTTTACACAAAAAGTCAAATATAAAATAATATTTCATGTTTCAACACGTGTTTTAATAAATAAACATACTTAAATGTTAATTTAATGATTAAAAATAATTGTATTTTACGTAGTAAATACCTACTAGGTAGTTAGCAAATTATTTAAATTAATGTATTAAAAAAATGTTTCGTTAATTTTTCACTTTGCGATTTTAGATATAATAATTGCATTATATGATAAATATGACTACTATTATGGAATAAATTAATAATTAATCAATTAAAAAAATATTATAATAATTTTTCTTGAAATAAATTTTAATGAAAATTATAACACGCTAATAATCGGTATTGTAATGTAAATCTTAGCAATTTTAATACCTATTATTTATTAATAAAGTCTAACTATTCGTATAAATTATACTCTGTAGATCATTAATTTTAAAACTATAACAATTGTATTAATTGAAATTAATTTCATATTATTATAAATTGATTGATTACTAATATTTATATATATTTATTATAACAAATTAAAATTATAAAATATTACAATGATATAATATAATTATTGTATTCAAAAATTCAATTATTATTCGATATATTTTAAAACAACTGATTTACTTAATAAATTTTATATAGAGTTCAATTATAATTCCCAGACATTAAACTGTTGTAATAATAATAATTATTATATATTATTTTGAATTTGAAGGATAAGCTATTATGTAAATTTATTATGATCGTAAAAATTATTAAATTTTCAACCAATATTTGATATTTATAATTATTTTAATTATCATTTTTACCTTTCTGTAGCTCGGTATGTTGATGCGCAAATACGATGTACGATATTTTGACACAGGTGTACAATCAATGCACAAACGATAACCGACAACTCATATACATATAATATGATTTACTTTATTTTTATTTATTTTAATCAAAAATAGAAAATATACAATCTATAGCTTGTGAACAACAAACAAATATAAAGTAATATATGATATAGAAAAATACATAATATTTCAAATGCGGAAGGGGCTGTCCAGTAACAAAATCCGTATGGCTTACGTTATTTACAAACAATTGGGTGACCCAGTAATAATGATATTTTACATTGGTCTGTCACCTTAACTCAACTTTTTTTATCTGTAATTTTGTATGTATTCTATTATAATCATGATACAATTCGCTTAATAGTAATCTAATCGTGATTCATATGGAATATTTTAGCATAACTCAAATTATGGATACGACACAATATACAATGTAGTTGTAATATTGACTTTAAAAAAAATCTGTGACCACTGACTGTTTTCTCAGCAGGTTCTCCTCACTTAGCTTTCTGATTCTTAATGATTCCTCTAAGACCTATCAAAGGAAATACTATGTTATTGTATAGTAAGGTCGAAGTGGTTTGAGGAGAGCTAAAATTGTTTTATATTATAGGCTTATTTATAGACTTATACTGATCCCCCTTAAATTTTAATGAATTTCGGCTAAGCACTAAAATAATCACTAATGATTAGTGACTATAATTTCCTGACAAGCTTGTAATTTAAATATTAAATAATATCTTAAACGTCCCTACAATTTATAGAAGTTTTATAGTTGAAAATTGAAATATTATTAAAATTGTCCAAAGAATTAAGTACTTCCAACAATAATTGTGTAGCTTTGTTTTATTAATTTGTTATTTTCAACAATATTTTAAAGTTTTATTAAAATATATATTATGACCGCAAATTTTAATATAATATAATATACATTTTTTTTAAAGTTAGTTTAGTATCAACTATGCATTAGACAAACGAAATGTGCATTTATCGCAGAAGTCTACTTTTCTTCCGGTCTTTCGGTCATCAAACTTGGTGTGCATTCCAAAAACAATTTAATATTGCACCTACAGGTCGTATGCCTGATCAGAAATCGATTTATTTACTGAGAGATACTGAAAGCGTAAAAAAAAAAAATATAATGGACTTTACAAAACTGTCAGAACACATCATGAAAAAATCGATAAGGCATAAGGGTGAAGCTTAAAATATTCCTTAGGCGATCTGTACGCAAAAATTCGGATATTTTAACGATTTTTAACTCCACAATGAGACAAATTGTAACAACTTAATCCACACGATTATGTTGCGTGAAAAAATGCATGTGATTATGTGAAAGATGAAATATTCTTCAAAAACCAGCTCATCTCTCTTAGAGATAATTTTCAGTAATTTGTGCATTTACTAAATTTAGCCTCATGTGACTTCTTTTGTGAGACTACTTTAAATCTTTAGTTTACACGGATCGTCTAAAGATCAGCTGAAAAATAATATTCGTGCTGCTATTGTCAACATAGGCACAGATATGCTAGAAAAACTGAACTGTAATTTAAAATTTCGGCTATCTCAATGCATTGACGAGGACGGTGGCCAGTGGTCACCTCTGTGATGTCGTTTTTAAAACCTAATAAAATAAGACTTTATTTGTACCCCTGTACTCAAAAAAAAATTAAATCGATATTGCCAATACTTTTTTTGTTATGATTTTCTTAAATAAAGTAGTAACCACAAATCACTCTATACAATATAGCATCATTGTATTTATTGTTTATTATTTAAACATATGCATTTGTTGTTAATCGTTGAGCTGTGATGTTTTTTAATCAAAAAAATTATCAAGAAATATTACTAAGTGAAGAAACAAATTCATTTAAGTAGGTGACCAATAAATAAATGGTGAGAGAAAAAATAGAAAACATGAAGACACGCGAGATAAAATTGTATACAAGCTGCAAAAGGACAAAGCCATAACGGGCACATTTGTCGAGCTGTCGTTAAATCGGTATCTCCTCGTGAGTTCGTTACATCGTTAACTGTTACGGGTAGGTAATTTAATTCAATACAAAGTCACAACTAAGTATGTTGCTGTGCGATCAAATTGTATATGTTACATAATGTATTTTTATAATTTAAAAACCAGCTGTTTCTTTATCTCTATATTAGGTAGTCATTTTTATCAAAAAGTTTAATGTGTGTAATGTGTATCATACAAACCATAAAGTCGTCTAAAAAACTAAATAAGGGCATATCAAAATTATTAATATTAAATACTAAGAAATTTAGTCTATTAGAAATACTAAATAAGTATATTCTATTATTAATTGCAAAATGTAATGTGAATATAGACCATATTATTATATGAATATATTATTTAAGTTTAATGTTTGAGACAATGTCAATAATGTTAAGTACGAGTATATAATATCATGTTGAATATTTCATAAAATTAAGTCGTATGGTTTCAGAAGTTTAAGCTGTCTGCCGACTGCCATTCTAATGTCTTAAAAGTTGTCTAATTTCTGACCTTAATGGCTGCTGTATGTGTCGTCACTCGTCCCAGACCAATCTTATGTTTGTTATTAAATAAATATGATATTGTTTTGTAATATTAAAATATTGGTGTACTTACTAGATATTGTTAATAACGGCTATTGTAATGAATGATTGATAATAATAAAATTGTCATCTACCAAATTTAGGAACGGTGTAAAAACTTATATCATAATATTATTTCAATATGTTTGATTTCTAATCGCTCCTATGATAATTGACTAAGGCACTATGTCTTTACAAATGCGCTTTTGTCTTCAATTTTAAATTGAAAATTCAATTTCTCTTACGCAGTTACGCCAAATGCAAACCTTATTGAATGCATTGAACACGTACTTTTTTTTCTCTTCATATATCACAATCAACACATTACATGATTATCACTCAGTCAATTTCCAACTGTATTATCGTCGGCGGATTTCCGGTATCCGCGATTTATTTCCACCGTCGCCCGACATCTATTCGCTGCCTTCAAGCAGACGATGAAAAACATGACCGGTTGAGGGAAAATCGAAAGAAACTTTGAAGGAAACATACGCAAACCATTGATCTATAAATTATAGCAGTTGTTATAAACTTAGTTTATTTGTCCGTGCTACGTCGCAGATACCTACTCACTTACACGGCGGCGGTGAGTATTTTGAGAACTCGACGATAGACGCCAGGAGAAGAATAATGATAATAAAAACGTTGCACAATCGTGGCGATGCTGGATGCGCGTGCGCGTGCCCGGAGCTAAAAAGATTAACGCGACCGCCACCACTCGCCCTCGCACGTTGCACAACAGCCGTCCGCCACCGCCAGTAGTCGCGTCGGTGCGCCGCACCTTTTACAACGTTATGCTTACCAGTTACCGTACGTAATAGCAGTAAGTAACCAGCCGTTGTTCAGTTGTTGTCGCGGTTGAGCGGTATGGTACACGCGACTAGCGAGTATAATCGCGAACAGAATAACATTATCGTTATCGTTTTATACTATATAATATAATACAATAATATAATTTTAATATCGTTATTCGCTTGAAAATAAACAAAAGAGACAACCAAATATTTTATAATATTATTACTTACTAGGAATTATTGTCTCATTGTCAGAGCTCTAGTTGCGACGGTGTTGTTGTTGTTGTTGTTGTTGTTGTTGTTATTGTTATAAATTATAATATTATAATCACCGTCGTCGATTCATTGGCGGCGCGTGGTGACTGACTAGTGAGATAACAGCGTAGGTACTTAATCGCAATCGTACTTTCGAAGACAAAACGATCGAATTGACGTCTTTTTTAAATTATCCGATATTTACTAAAGTGCCTAAAAATACGTTCATTAATGGCTGCACTACTCGAGGTGAGTAACACTTAAGTCATAACAACGTTATCGTTCCTGATGCAATTTATTTTTAATCCTTCGTCGTATTACCAAACACGCATTTTGTTTAGACTCCGCAGCGAATAATAATGAATAATAATATTAATCATTAATCGTATCCACGTGTGACGCCACCGTGTGTTTCCTCAGAACTCGTCACGACATGTGACCGCCTTATAAATCTGTAAACAATAAAATGTAAATTATTATTCCGGTAACGTCGAAAAACAACACAACAAATGCACCTCATACCTCTCCGACGGATTGGTACCTCCTATATTGGAGTATTTGCGTTTTGACGTAGATTATTTTAAAAGTTTTTAAATTAATTTACATATTAACGTTTAGTTTTTAATACCAAATTTAACAATAGATTTCTCATTTAAAGACAATTTTTAATTCTTTATGTTAAATAAATGTATTAATATACTTTTTAAGAAAGTTATGATTTTGGTATATTTATAACATTTATAATAATAGTGTAAAAACGCCTCTTAAGGGAGGGGGAGGAATACCACATTTTTTGTACATTTCTATGAAATAAAAATTAAAATCGTACTGAATATTATTTAAATGTACCGATTAATATTTAAAATTTGTAGATCAAATATTTTAAAATATCGTTTCTATGTACGTCCGCCGTTATTAAATTTTATTAAACAATGTGCAATACATTTTGATGAAATATAATATTATTTGCGGTTTTTATAGTTGCAATTAGAGTATAAGAATATAATAAAATACAAGGAATATAAACTAATTTATTGAATTTTAATTAAAACAAAAACTTAGAATTAATATCTAACTAGTATTTACTGGTAGATGTTAATTTTTAAAATTAAAATTCAATTCAACATTCAACGGGGTTACGGTAAATGCCGTGTATAGTTTATTGGTTGAACAAAAGTATTATAATAGAATGAATATTAAAAACGTTCTGATATTGAATAAAAAATAATATAATATTACCATTTAATTATCAATAGAGTTTAACAACGTATCAGGTATTTACTCAAGACCATTTTGGTAGGTACCGTACTATCCACAATATTTCATATTCCAAACAAGTTTTAAATGACGGACATTTGATTTATTATTATTAATTTATTACGAAGCCTACAATATCGTTTCATTCGTTTTTATCTATATTATTTCCAGATAGGTTTATCCAAATACTTCAATGTCAATAGTCGTTTGTTTTAACCGATTCCGGCACCAATACATGCACCAAGCAATAAGCGCTCACATGAAGTTCTCAATCGAGTCGTATTATCTTAACTTATCGTGATTTTATTATTATCGTAGCTTGTTAGGTCATCACCACCACTACCTGCTGCTCCACTACGTTCTCCACCACTACCATTCAATACTTGCCGCAGTATACCGCCTGCCACTAACTGCGCTCATGTAATAAGCAATAACATTCATAATAAGAAACAGAATAATGAACGGTACCTACGCCGCACCGTGTGCTTATACGGAGTATTGACGCAAACGTTCGCGAGGTTAGGTCTATCGTGTCCCGTGACAAGTCGAATCAATGCATTCAGTTGACATTACAACATAACTATCGTATAATGTCAAATGTTTAATAACAATTAAATAATCACTGCAACAATAATATTGTTCGAGAAATTATTTATATCTATTATAACACTAATATGGAAATCGGTTACCGGTGACCGCCTCAAAAGCTTTTCTCCACGCCGCCATCGTGATCGAAATAGGTAAAATCGTATTACCGGGGCCGCGCGTGTTTCGTCTACCACATTTATTATACCAAGGTATCTAATATCGACGACGTTACAGCGTAACCGCTTCGACGGTTATTATCGGCGGTTCGACTTCGAATCGCGCCCATTCATCGAAAGCGGTGGCGACAGTCTTGTCATAGTTGTTGTTGCTACTTTTGCGACTTTTGCGTCCGCTACGACGATGGTTCGCCGCGAAACGCACCAGTGATTGCGACTCAAACGTTCTATGGACAGCGACGGTCACCAATTACAAAAACAACATCAACGGCGGCGGAGGTCGACGACGGCCGTGCTGTTACATCAGCCGGGCGTGAGGTGGCGCGCGGTGCAGCCAGCCAGGAGGAGTTGTTCGGCCGTGACCGAAAGGGACGTGATGATGGTGACCACTGGCGCGTGGCACCCGTCCCGGCAACATTCAGTCACCGCTAAGAGATCGTCCAGAGTTTACAGGTACACTTCACACGCGAGAATCGACCGGTAAATGTTTTAGTAGGAACCTAATTCCACAATGGTTGCGATAGTCCATTAAAAAAAAATTAACTCTAAGGCAAAATGTTTTGCCGAACAACGAAATTTTCTCCTAAATCATACACTAAGAAATAAATTAAATAATATTATTATCTAGTTGGAATATTTGATTAAATTTTCCCATGTTAATCAAATCTTACTCTCTTTAGGTAAAAGTCAAATCTTTAATTTCATTTACATTTTTTTCTAAATTCGTAGTACTCTTTCGAATAATCTATTTCATTTATTTATTTATACTCTACCTATAAAATATGAGAGAATAATATAACATAATATCGTACTATTAAAAGACACATAAATTGTGATAAAAATGTAACTATTTAATACCAATTACTAAATATAATACATTATAAGTATCTACTTATAATTAAACAACATTAATTATTACCCAAATAACTAGTAACTATACCCATATGTTTACAGTGGAAACGGGAAATTAACTTCTGGTATGTAGGTTCGATACCCATTACTGGACTGGAGTTACAGTGACTTAAAATTGTCTTTTTGTAACTGTAGAATTTAGTCGAGTCGTACCTAAAAACTTTTTTTTTGCTTTTTCCACATTTTATAGTAAAATTTACGTTTGGTATAAGAAATAGAATTTAGTTTGAAGCGCAGGGGAGTAAATGCCACCCTGCCACACCCTCTCTACGCTCATGATGTCAACCATAACTACCTCACTACACATGGTTACAAAAATGGTGTTGTTAGTGCTACTGCAGGTGTCATCCGTTTCCTAAATTAATTAATTATTGACCTTGTTTGATAGTTACACTTTGAACTTCTTTTTTAAGGTATTCGAGTTTTTGAATTTTTTAGTGTTATTCTTATTAGTTATTACGTTTCCACCATGGCCGCATACCTCAATACGAGTAATCAGTTATCAAATAATGTGTCGAAAACTTATGCATTTGATTGTTTGAATATTTGGACTATGATATTTTAATACAATTATTCTGTGCATGAACTAATACAAGACACATCATATGAATAGTCATAGATGATTATTAATATAGCTGCAGGCTGCTTATATCATCTTAACAGTTAACACGGAATATATAGAATAGATACAATGTTATTTGTTAGTAACTGTTGTAAAGATCGCCTGAAGTTTATCTTACATTAGATGATATTTAATTATTTGTAGAGTATAAAATATTGTAATTTTTATTAGAAAATAATTTTAATAATATATAAAATAATATTAGTCGAATATTTAGTTTCTATTTTTAGAACTTCATATTAATTTGACTTAAATAATTATAGTGAGTACCTATGATGAATGCATACTTGAATAAACATAATTAACGACGCTAGTTATATATAATATGCAATAACTTTAATGACTTTAATTTACCGTGTCGCGTCATGTATGTATGAAGCGCGCGTAGTTCAGGGGAGCGATTAGCAAGATGACCTACAAAACAATTATATCATTTTATTATACTCCGAGGAATTTTTTTTCAATATTAGGTATTAATCATTAATATTTTTATTAGTCCTGTAATGTCAGTTACGTACTCACATGAGATCAACCCGTCGCCTATATTATTTTGAACCAAACAGCCATCCGTATCAGTCTCATAACATTCAAAAAAAAAAAATAAATAAATAACTAGCAGATGCTTTCCAAGGCAAACAACACACACATACAAATGCCTATTTTTAATTCGCTCTGACATCAGTTGTAGCACATTTACGCAAGTTTCGAGCAGTTGAAACTCACCAGACTGGCCAAAATAAAGTTGTATACAGAGTGTTACCTATTTTTTCGCACTGATCTCTCCTGCACACCTGAAAACGAAAATTAAATTATCCGAAAAAAATTCGTTACAGTCAATGCTGATTTTTAAACGATAAAAAATGTTACTCAAATGTTTTAGATAAGTAACTAATTTTTCTGTTTTAAAATTTATCAAACATATCATTCATTCCCGTCAAATAAAAACAATTAGACAATCTTTAGAGAGAGTAATAATTAACATTATAATTCTGTGTATAATAATTATATTTATGTGTAATTGCATTAGCTCATTTTCATGTATCACGACTGACGTCATTTTGAATATATTAAACATTTGAACTTTTAATAAAACCATACGCTTACCACTCGGTATTTAAAATAATGATGTCATGATGTAAACATAATGTGTATCCAGGTACTAGGGGGTAGCCTACATCTGCATCAAAGTCCATCATTCATAATAATTAGTAATTGTTATTATCAGAATATAATATTTATTATTTACTTATTATTTTTTCAAATGAACGAATATGACAAGTAAAATATTATTAAGTATACCATAATGTCACAATGCGCTTCATCAAATGTATGTGTTTGAAATAAATTTCTAAAACATTAATCAAATATCAACAAGTACATTATATCATTATCAATAATTTATGCGTATAGCTTATAGACGTCATATAGAAAAACTAAATATTTAGATAATATTATTACACAAAAAAAATATTTTTATGAAAATAATAATAAATAAATAGATTTATTACTTATTTATAAAATGTATAATTTATATAATGTACATAGTCATAAATATCTCAAGTCAATGCTCTTTGATATATTTGTTCTAATTATATTTTCCAATATCAATATGATTATTAATAATTTGTATTGAATAAAATTTAATACGAAACGACAAGTTAAAAAAGTAACGACTGGAGTGAAATTGAAGTTTCATTTTCTAATTTATTATAATACTAGTGGGTTACTACCATCTAAAACAACCATTGCCTACATACCTAAGGTGCCGTCTTCGGTTCCAACGTGTCTATCGACGTGTTCAAGAAAAACAAATCATAATCATCATCAGGTGGGTTCTCTTCGTTCTATTCGATGGTGTTCGGTCCAACCCACGCAAATGTGCGTGCGTGCCCTACCAGAAATAATCTGCCCACGTGTCCTACGTGTGTAGGCATAGTATTTTGTGTGTGTGTGAACTATAATATAAATGAATAAATAATAAAACATATACAGAGTGATATATATAACTGATTTCTTATAAAAAAATTGCGATTTATAAAAATATTTTTGTATCTAGCTTGAAATAACCATAATATTACATTATTATTTTTGTATGACATAATTTGTATTCAATATTCAGCTATAAAATATTTCTAAAAATTAGTTTCAAATCAAATTTAAGCCATTAACTACTAGCCTTGACTTTAAATAATTAAAAAAAAATAATTATAATAATGTTCTTTTAATATTTGGTAATTTTTATTTTTTGTAAATATTTATTAAAATAATACAATTTGTATGTTGTATAATGATTAATGAATCATGTCTCCATACTTTCAAATTGTAAGAAAACAATTTTTTTTTTTTTTTTAATTGACTAAAAATTGGTGTTGATCGATGGTTTTTTAGCGGAACAGTCTGTACATTATGTGCCATTTATCTCTGTCTACCACCCGATATATGTGACTCCTCGATCTGGCCCCTTAATCCCACGACTAATAGCTGATCCGTAGGCGATCCTGGACCAAATAACTTTACGGCGATGTTGTCGTTTCCTTTTTGATTTTTTATTATAATGCCATGTACACACATGCTTACGTGTATTATTATATTTTAGCGTGAAATTATTATTTTTTCTTATTTTGTTGATATTTACACATTTTAATTATGTATTCGTTGCCCCCTACCACCAGACAACCGGTTTTCTACTTAAATCTGTAGATCAGTCAGTATAACTGGTCTATTTTAATCAGCATATTATTATAGTGATTCGGACTGTCTACAACCGCGATGTGCTAGTATTGCGATTCACGATATGTATCGATCTCTCGTAGCCATTACGATATTGATGGGCCAGAGTTGATGTTAAACACAATATGTCACGTGACTAACTTTTTTTGTTTTTTTGTAATTATTTATAAATCATTGTGTGTTTAATGATGAAAATTCTAAGAACACAACAACAATAATAATAGTTAATTTATAATTCGATAATAACCAATTAAAATACCAATAGTAAAAAATAAATTAAAAATAAATGTTCACATATATATAATCAATGTGACTCGTTTATTATTATAATTTTTTTTCTTTCGCCGACAGTAAAAAAAAAAATAAAAAATAAAATATAATTCGGCAAGTATGACAAAATATGTTGTTTTACATATAACTTGCTGCATAACATAGTAATTTAAAATATATGATAAAAATTCTTACGGATTTTTTAAATATATTTATCATTTAAATGTGTGTGATTTCGTCTCCTTTGGTTTCCGATAATTTTTAAATGCACAGGTGAGTAGATGGCTTTTATTAGGTAATAATAACTAATAACTAATAAGTAATAAGCAATAAGCAATTTTTTTCAGTTGTAAAAATATTTATTTATTTTTTAATAATGTTAAAAATAATATAACATAATTATATGTACACCTATTTATAACCACACTGAATACCTATATGTATTCTTTTAACTGAATATATACATTAAAAAAATAGGATCGTTTTTGTTTTGATTATCATTTTAAACAGTGTTTGTATTAATTTATATGATTTTATCATAATTGAGGTTTTTATCATATAGTTTATAATGTTATTTAATACAACGATTTTGTATGAAAGATTTGTATTATTTGTCGGTTTATTCAAGGTCCAATATAATTGCCAAATACCAGATTAATTTTGAAAGACTGTTGAAAGCGTTGTTCTCGATGGATTTATAGAAAATATTAATAATATACTAGCCAAAGTCATGTTCACTGTATAAATAAATATCAATTTTATAGCTATATGCGACAGAAGATCCTTGAAATAAAAATCTGTATGATTTATTATGTTAATAATATAAAAATATAGATATTTTCTAATGATTTTACTAATTTTTATACATTTAATTTATAAGCGTTTTTTTTTTTTTTTTTATCAATTTATAAATAATTTT